ACTATTGGTAAAAGGCATCGATCGTAGCGACACGTAGTGACAATAATTCGAACCAATCCTATCGGGTTAGCTGTTACACAGCGAGTAGAAAGAGATACATACGTAATTCTTTTTATTTTTATTATAATAGAAGAAAATAAATAAAATTATTTTAAAGTATGGAAAATCAATCTGAAACAAATGGAGCAAGATTTTCTCCAAAAAAACTACGAGTAAAATGTTTTGTTGTGTCTATGGTTGCAAAAGTAAAGCGTTTAACAATCCGGGCGTTCGTTTCCACTATTTTCCAAAACCAAATAGTTACTATGTAAAAATACAAAATTATTTCGGTAATTCGGTAAAGTCGATTGCCATAAAAAATGGCAAGAAGTTTTAAAAATTGGGGAAACAGTAATTCAGCACATGCAAGTTTGTTAGTTACATTTTAAAAGAAGTGACTATGTTCCACCTGGTAAATATTCATTTTTTTGCATAATTACTTTAAGCTATAACTAATTATTTAAAATTAATTCAAATATTAATTACATTAATCAATATTTTGAATTTTGTGGACAATGAGACATGTTGACTCTATTTTTAAAGGTTTCAAATTCTTGAAGAAAGATGCCATACCTTCCTGTAATTTGCCTTCATGTAATATAAAAGAGCCTTCAGATGACCAGAAACGAATTAATAGAAGTATGATTAAGATTAAGATTAAGATTAAATAGAGAAAAAAATCGTACTGAAGCTAATATAAACCAACAAAATGGAAATTGTGGTAACCTAAACGATGAAGAAAATATTTTAACAAGTTCTGACCTTCCAATGGCAGAAAATAATGATATAAACTCTCTCAGCGTAACTCATATCGATTATTTATATTATTTAATATGCCACAATATATTAAATGACCAGCATTCACAACTTTCTCTCCTTCAACGAAATTACGGCTTTTTATTGATGAGTTCAAGAACTCCAAAATTTCACTCAAAGATAAAAACATTGCTTCAAAATTAACTTGTAACACATGTTTTCGTATGGAAACGTGGCGTATTTGACCCGATAGGATTGATTCGAATTATTGTCACGGCGTGTCGCTACGATCGATGCCTTTTACCAATCACACCCTCGCCGGGAATTTGAGTGGGAAGAAATTAAGTTGATTTCACATTAGTATTTGATAATTATTAAATATTGACCACTCCTAAAAGTAAAAATGTCCGTAAAGTACTGATATTAACTATACTTTTATAAATAACTACAACAAAATGTAATAAATTATAATCTATATATGACCTAAACGGAAAATTATTATCTATTTCAAAGTATTCCTATAAATAGATAGCATTCTAGTAAATTTTCTGTTGTTTCAGGTTGGGGGATATTTCCAGTGACGAAATAAGGCTTATAACTAGTAATTTTAATAAAGTAAAGTACAAAGGTAAGCTATTGAAAAATACATTTAATTTCCATTTTTTCCCTCATTTCTAGATAANTCCTTCAACGAAATTACGGCTTTTTATTGATGAGTTCAAGAACTCCAAAATTTCACTCAAAGATAAAAACATTGCTTCAAAATTAACTTGTAACACATGTTTTCGTATGGAAACGTGGCGTATTTGACCCGATAGGATTGATTCGAATTATTGTCACGGCGTGTCGCTACGATCGATGCCTTTTACCAATCACACCCTCGCCGGGAATTTGAGTGGGAAGAAATTAAGTTGATTTCACATTAGTATTTGATAATTATTAAATATTGACCACTCCTAAAAGTAAAAATGTCCGTAAAGTACTGATATTAACTATACTTTTATAAATAACTACAACAAAATGTAATAAATTATAATCTATATATGACCTAAACGGAAAATTATTATCTATTTCAAAGTATTCCTATAAATAGATAGCATTCTAGTAAATTTTCTGTTGTTTCAGGTTGGGGATATTTCCAGTGACGAAATAAGGCTTATAACTAGTAATTTTAATAAAGTAAAGTACAAAGGTAAGCTATTGAAAAATACATTTAATTTCCATTTTTTCCCTCATTTCTAGATAACAATTACGTTAATGTGAAAGCTGAAAAACAGTTCATTTATCAAACAACCACTGACGTTTCGCCTTTTTAATGAGTATTATCTTCAATGAGACCTTTTGAAGGATGTATTTCGCCCCTTATCACGAATTTGCTATATTGTAAAATATAATTGATAACATTTGGGAGGAATTACAAAAAGTAGAAGTTGTCTTATTTTCAACTTTCATCGAAAACTCTCCGTCATCGCTTCTTTTTAATGTACCTATATATATAGAAGACGCGATCAACTTCATTAGATTAATAGATGATATAGTAACAAATAAAAGTAACACGAAAATACTGGTACGCAAGGGAAGAAAAAGCAGGAAAGGAGTGAATATAAAAGATAGGAGACGAAAAATTAGAAGAAGTGGCTGATTTTAGATATGATAGGAAGTCAGATAAGTCAGGGTGGAAGGAGTAGTAGGGATATAAAGCAGAGGATAGCGCAAGGTCGAGTCGCCTTCAATAAAAAGAAGTCACTTCTATGCTCGCGAACGATTAATTTAGAAATTCGAAGAAGATTGTTTGTAGCGCGGAGCTATTCGGGTGCGAAACATGGACGGCGGGCGCAGTAGAAAAGAATAGATTAGAAGCGTTCGAAATGTGGTGTTGTAGGGGAATGATGAGGATACCGTGGATAGAGAAGGTTAGAAATGAAGAGGTATTAGAAAGAACAGGAGAACAGAGGTCATTATGGAAGTCAATAAGAAATAGGCGAGATAGATTGGTAGGATACCCTCTCAGGCATGAAGGGCTAGCTGGAGACATATTAGAAGCAAAAACAGGAGAAGTAGAGGTAGACCTAGATTAGATTACTGTTTACAAATAGTTAAAGATGTGGCATGTTCTACAGTTAGGTAAAGTGGAAATATGTGTCCAACCACTTTTAGGACTGACGATCTTATGATGATCGAAAACAAAAAGATAATGGTACCAATTAGCGTCGATTTACTTCATACTTTTAGGAAGACTACCGAAATTTCTGAAATGAACAAGTTTCGATTTAGTGTTAGAAAGACATGTCTATAGTATTTACACTAACTTATTTTTGGGTCATGATTATTTTTGCAAATGAAAACCATTTAAAAGTCGAGTAAAAATGAGGCGCATTACTGGTTCGATGACCCATTCATTCAGCGTTACGACTTCAATTTCACAGTGCCTTGTGAAGAAGAATATGTTTCCGCTAGCAAATCGTCTCTCTCTCTAGTCTATTTTATGGGTTAATAAGGGTTTCCAGCACATCACAAGGGCGTCCCGAATCCGAAATCACTCCAGATCTTATTCCGATGGCTTCTCTTCTTTTTTCCAGGACAATGTACTTTGCATATCAAAGGAATCAATATTAATCAGTCCCGATGCTCCCGTTTCCATTTATTTTCTTCCGGATAGATATCGGCGGGATTACTGATGACCCGCGTTCTGATTCAGTCTGATTCTCAACGTCCATCAATGTGAGAAAATCGAATATTGGAAAAGTATCTCGGATATACTTTTTCAAAGAGAAAAAGAAATGACCAAAGCGCATTACGTTATTATACGTACATACACCTAATGATAACGATTAATTACTATTTATTCTTTTATTCTGTTCCTTTCAGCGAGTTTAGCCTGCTCTTAACATCAATACCCATTAACGCTACTTCGCGATATCTCGCATAAAAAAAGACTTCAGTTCACAAATTTTTCACTTTGATTTTGTTTGTGCTAACAAATTAAGAATGACTTGGACGTTTTTTAAACCGGCTTCAATTCGACTACACTTTTCTTGTATGTTACGCGAATTATTTCTTAATAATTCTTTTTTTTTTATCGGATATATCACATCTCAAATTTTTTATTAGGTACAATCATTTATCCTCCTAATGGAAGATTTTAAACATTTTCGATGAAGATAATTGAATTTCTATAAATATATTGATGTTTGAATACGCTTTCTCTATAATAATATCGAATTACGGTAACATGTCACCGTCTACAGTATTTGCTCTTAAAGTATTTCGAATGTTAGACTTAATCAGTTCTTATTAATTAATTTGGTTTAGTGCTTTTCATGTATGCAGGGTGTAACAGAGATAGATGCGGAGCTTTGGAGGGCTTTGCAACTACATCGACGGAAAACGTAAATAATGGCGGTTATCGAATGCCACACCGCTGTTACAAGAACTGTTTATGGTAACATAACTGACGTACTCTGAAGACTCATGTTGTTTTGTCGAATCAGTTTATTATTGAACATCGATTGGGTTGGATAATAAGATTAACATGTTGAATCATATTTAATCTAATCATACAAATAACAAACAATACATGAGCAAAAAAAATTCAAAGGAAATACAACACTGATGCTGTTAATTACCAGCTAATTAAATGCAACATTGCGTTGTCGTATTTCTTAACCAGGACCGGAATTGAATGTATTGCACTTTTAACTACGTTTTTCTAGAAAACAGCGAACTTTTGGACATACACTACTACATCGTATGTGTATAAGTTGTGTCATCAACATAGTTATAACATTCTTGTCTGACTTTTGAAATATATTATAAATTATATTAGCAGCAAATATTTATAGATAACGACATACTGCTGTAACTCGACAGCTTATCGAGATCGCATCGCCTGTGGCGTGCTGATGAGATCAAATAAGTTCGAAATCACAGTCCACGTCTAGTAGTTTTCAGAGATTTTACCGGCCAAGAATTTATACCGTACTTTTTATTTTTTTTTAATTCTTAGATAATGTCATAAGTAAAACAAAGTTTTAAATTTTTGACCTTTTATAGAGGATTAGGAATTAAAAAAAGAAGTCGACCTTATAACGTGCAACCTTTTTTAGTCGAAAAGCTTTTCTTATTATGTCAGGTCGCGTCGTCGACGCTGTCATCGTTGTAAGCATCGGTATTAACCAACGCCGATGACTGTGACGCTTGAGGTAAGGTTCATTTAAATGGCGGAGAGGGGATGAATACGGGAGAAGGGTGGCTGACGGTTATGCGGTGGTTCCTATCGTAGCTATTAATCATCTTATTGCCACGCTTACTTCAACAGTTAATAAACAGGCGCCAACTGCGATGACGACGTCGACCGCAGAGTCGTGACCGTAAAACACAGTGGCACCAAGTCGCAAAACATACAAAATTAATCAAAACACAAAAAAACAGTAGAGCAATGTTATTCTTATAAATAAAATTGAAGTCTAGCAAGGAGGAGTTAGATAGCTTTAAATAAAATGCAAGCGGTATTGACAAAACAGTACTCTATGAAAATAAATGAAAATAAAACAAAAATACTGGTTTGCAAGGGAAAAAAAAGTAAGGAAAGAGGGAATATAAAGATAGGAGGCGAAAAATTAGAAGTAACCGATTTTAGATATCTAGGAAGTCAGATAAGTCAGGAAGGATATAATACAGAGGATAGCGCAGGGTCGAGTCGCCTTCAATAAGAAAAAGTCACTTCTATGCTCACGAACGGTTAATTTAGAAATTCTAAAAAAGTTGTTAAAGGTGTACGTTTGGAGCACGCCGCTGTACGGGTGCGAAACATGGACAGTGGGTGCGGCGGAAAAGAAAAGAAGCGTACGAAATGTGGTGTTATAGGCGAATGATGAGGATAACGCGAATAGAAAAGGTTAGAAATCAAGAGGTATTAGAAAGAGCAAGAGAACAGAGCACTCTATAGAAGTCGGTAAAAAATAGGCGAGATAGGTTAGTAGGACACCTTCTCAGGCATGAAGGTCTAGTCAGAAACATATTAGAGGCAGAAACGGAAGTTAGGAGGGGTATAGGTAGACCTAGATTACATTACTGTTCGCAGATAGTTAAGGAAATGGGTTGTTCTAGTTTTAGGGAAATGCGAAAGTTAACTTAGGACAGGAAAGAGTGGAGGTACGTGCCCAACCAGTGTTAGGACTCACAACCTTATGATGATGATGATTATATAATATCATAATAAATGCATTCGGTCCATATTATTATTTGCATGTTAAGACCCTTTTTTGTCTGTCTGTGTGCACTAAGCTTCAAAACACCGGAACGGATTTCTATAGCACATTATAGACGCGAAGATGAGGTTGTCAGGAATGATCTAGGATACTTTTTATTACTATAATTGTATTTTTTATAAACAATTATAAATACCTATATATTTCTACGCGGACGAAGTAGGTCGTAAAAACGAGTAAATGGGGACAGGAGTTTTGTATGATTTTATTAGTCGTTATTAAATATTCTATAAACTAGTTTTTATGTTTATTTTACAACATCAATTTTATACTAGATAATTTAGAAACTTCATTTTTATATGTACTGCGTCCCTACAAACATAAAACAGCATTTCCAATTTACAATCTCCTTAATGTAAAAGTTACTGCAAGTTGGTACATTAATATATTTAATTACCCATTTATGATAATTTAAAATATCCGATATTACTTTTTTTTTACCAGACTACTCATATATTCACAAAAAGAAATTATTTGAACCCCATTTTGAAAGTTCCGTTGAAAGGAAAGGAATGGAAAACTTTGGTAAAGAATTTTTAAGTTTCCACTTCATCTTCTTATTTTAAGAATATAGTACCAAAATCAAAGGTAGGATAGGGGATAAAAAACTTATTCAATAAATTAATATTACCTTTTCGCCTTTTGGTAGGGAGCTTCATGAAAGTGTGTATTGCAAGTCAATAGTTCGCTTTCAATCTTTGGTGTTGAATGTGAATCGATTAACTATATTATTTAGGTCCATTATCCGTTTCGTCCTTAGTTTGAATAATATTAAATAAAGCTCAAGGCAATTAAGGATTTGAAGGTTTTTATTTATAAAGAACCAACACGAACGTTTCGCCTCTATTTGGTAGTCTTTTTCAAGGCTACAATATTATAACAGTTTTTAATTCTTTCCGACAGACCAATTATGTAAGGTATC